CTCCTCCACTGACGAGGCCACCTCCGGCGAACACCACTTCCGGCGCAACCGGTGTCGATCTCCGACTGTGAAAGAGTCACAAAAATAAGAATCATCGTAAAATCTTGTTATTTTCTTGATCCTCTCTACACTTCATTGTTTATATAATTACCTAATAGTGTCATCTATGCAAATTAAGAGGGAGATTAAAATCCTCCACAACTTATCTCATGGACCAATTATCGTAAAGTTGAACGATATTGTTAGGGTCCTCAGGGACTAACGATCAATGAATTGAATACAAGACTCATTTCAAATATGTCAATAACACCTATTTTGAAGTGTTTTACCAAATTAATAACATCTGTGTAGTTGAGTATTTCTAAATTATTTCTACTTTATTTATATTTTAACAATTCAATATCAATCATATAAAATTATTTTCTTCATAACTGCACTACGTCATCTTGTATCAATGTTATAGAGACAGATGTAATAGTGTAAGGAGTATAACCAAATTCTCCTTTCACTCATTTATATATTGTAATTTTTTGAATGTTTGGTATTATTGTTAGGGAAATTGAATTGTCTTAAATACGACTAAACAAATTTGAGTATTTCGAAATAAGACCTATGTTTTTATTCCCCAAATATGAGTAATAACTGTCATGTTTTGGCAGTATCAGACTTTAAATATTACAATATTTTTTAAGTTTGAGAATAATTACTCATATTTAGGGAATGAAAATATGATAATCCTATCGCTCTCCCCTTTTCCACATTGGTCTCCTCCCCTGTTGCTTGTCGTTGGATTGCCGCACGGCACGACATGTGATCAAAATTCGGAATCTAGTTTATTAACAAAAGTAGTGGAAATATCTCATCAGGTCCACCTTTTATAATTGCATTTCATTTATATCTCCTCATAATGTATTCTCATAATTTATTTTTCATTTATAAACTTTTAACTTTTCACTTTTAACATTTTATGTTTCAAAAATAACCTAAAACTTAAAAGCACTCATATCGTCTGTTGATAGCACTATTAGAACCTCATATCTTTCCGTCCTTCCTCACAATGGCCGAACTGAAGCACTGTGGCGTGTGCGGTTGTGTTAAGAACCGGGGTTCCATCCTAAAAGGTCAACCTGATAGGAGGAGTATCCCATGTCTTAATATAGCACTTTGTTGATTCAAACTTTTCCGATGTGGGATTCTAACACCCCTCCTCACGACCAGGCACTTCGTCTGGATCGTGTCGCCAGTCATTTTTTTCGTCGGTTCATCATTGTCAATTTTTTCGTCGGTTCATCATTGTCATTTTTTAATCGTGTCGTCATTTTTCGTAAGGGGCCCACACCATGGTTATGGATCGGTTTGGCTCTGATACCATGTTAAGACTCGAGATTCGATCCTAAAAGGTCAACCTAATAGTAGGAGTAGCCCATGTCTTAATATATCACTTTGTTAATTCAAATTTTGCCTCGGCCTTCGTTGCTCCTCCCTCTGCACTGTCGTTCATCCACTATGACTCTGCACTCTGCCGTTTGTCCTCTGTGGCTCCACACTCCACACTCCACCGTTTGTCCTTTGTGGCTCCGCACTCCGTCGTTCGTCCTCTGTGGCTTCGCACTCCGTCGTTTGTCCTCTGTGGCTCCGCACTCCGCGGTTCGCCCTCTGCGGCTTTGCAATCCGCCATCCTCTGCGGCTTCGCACTCCTCCCTCCATCCTTGTTTGCTCGGCTACTCCGCTACTTGCTGAATCGCGACCTGACATGTTTGTTTTCTGATTTGCAGGTCTGTGTCTGAGATTTTCATCATTTTACTTTCACTTTAATCTATTTGGTAGCTAACTTACAAGCATAATCATTTGGATTTATTGAGCTAAACATTGATGTAGTGAGAACAACCTCAGAATTTGTTTATCGACAATTCATTTTTGTGGATATGTTTACATATACTTTTGTTATTTGAAATTGATTTGGTGTTTCTATGAAATTGATGGTGCGTTGTTTGTAGGTGGCTCGTGTATCATCAGCGACAATGGAACTTTTTTTATGGGAACCTCAAGATGAAGTCTCTTAGGTTAATCATTCCTAGCTTGCTTTTTAATTCATTTTCGAATACATGTTCATTTGAGATCTATTGTTTTAAAAATCACAATTTGTTAACAATGGAATTTAATCTTTGTTTGGTGTCAAATGATGTACATGACTAATATAAATAGTTTCTAACACTGATTGTCCGAGTATAGAGATTTAATTAGAGCTCAAAGGATGATATTTGATTAGTGTCATCACTGACCTTTTACAGCTGACCCAATTTATGTTGGATTAAGGATTCGATGTTGGTATTGTGATTGAAATGTTATAAGATCATATATTATAAGTATCCCTCTTGCGATTTTCAATTTGCAGAATCCTCTTGTAAGCATCATTATTGAGTTAAGAATTACTAGTCAACTGCTATTTTTGGATATTGCTTGGTCTTGTTGTTTGGTCTAACATCACCAAGTGATGTATTCTACAGAATGTGTGGAGTTCTCTGTTTCTAATGATTCATATATTTGTTTCAACGATTGAGAATAGAAAAGCTTAATTATGCCTCTTCTTAGTTATTCACATATTGATTGAATTAATGTTCATTTCATTCTTTTGTGCATTTGTTGTTTATTGTAATAATTTATTTGGAATTTGTGTCATAGTGATTGCATTCCCCATTGTAGGCACATAATAATAAAGAAGTACATGAACATGTATGGATGTAAAGATAGAATAGACAAATATGGTAAACTGTGTGTTAAAGTGCAACATAAAAGGAATAAGGTGTAGGAAAAACCAAAACCGATAGATGTAATAGATAAATGTAATATTATAATAATAGAACTGAATTGTACATATTTTGTGTAATTTTTATATCATGTTTTTGTTGCTCTTGGTTGCACCACATGTGTTCCTTTTTGTTGCATTGTGTTGTATTTGGTTCTATTGTGTTGCATTTTATAGTCTCGTTTTGCTTATTATTCTTTATTATTGATTTTGATACTTGCTTGCTATGTACATTTATATTTATTTTCATTAGTTAATTGGAATGAAAAATCATATATGTTATATGCAAAAACACCTGAAATAATAAATTTGGATTTATGAATAAACAAAAAGAAACATGAAGAAACAATAAAAAACAAAAATAATTAACGTTATCAACGAAGATAAACAAAAAGAAACAATATGCAACAAAAGTAACAAATAAATGATAATAATCTAATAACAATATTTTATGTGTTTTGCGTTTTTATATTTTACATGCTTCTTAATTATTATATTTTTCTAATTTTTAAAAAATCAAAATGCTTTTCAATATAATAACCTTATTCTCTATTTTTATTTTATTTTTTAAAATAATTTTAATTTTTCTAAATGGTTTTAAACTTTATATATTAATTTGTGATTTTTTATGGTTTTAAATCTTAGAATTCATATTCTTTAAAAAAATCACAATTGTTTTTCGTTTTTTCGAATTTTATGTATTTTTTAATATTGAAAATTTCGAATTTGTATTTTTGAGCGGATAAAAAATAGTTTACACTTTTTTAGTTTTTCTGATATTTTCTGATAATTCATATATTTTATTTTTATTTTCTTGGTACTTTAAAATTTTTCTTTATTTTTCTGTTTTTCTTTTATTTTATAAAATTTAATTTGAGTTTATGAATGTATTCAAATTTTATATATTGATTTATTTTTTAGATCTCCTTCCTTTCTTTATTTTTCAAATTTTGAAAAGTTGCTCTCATAATTTTTTTTATTACTTCTCTGTTTTAATAATATAAAAATATTTTGATCTTGTTTTACGTTTTTGAATATTTTGTAGGCTTTTAGATTTTTTTAAATTTTTAATTTCAAATTTTTTAACATTTTTGATAGTTTATATAAAGTAATTTAATTAATTAAAATATTATTCAAAATCTTATTTTGTGATTTTTTAAAAAAAGTCCCACATTTTAACTATTTTAAAATTTTTATTTTTATTTTTTTTTTGATTTTTTTTTCATTTCTAATTTTCATATATAATTTCTACATTTTTATGATATTTTTAAAAAATTAAATTCCTCTTTGTTTGATATAACTATTCAGTTTTAAACCTATTGGTGACAACATCTCAATTTTAAAACTTAATCTTATAATTGTAGAGTTTAGTGATGAAGAACATGTCCTCTGATCTACTATTGTACTCCCTCCGTTTCTGAAACAAGTTCCACCTTTCCTTTTCAGACAGATTCAAAATTAAGTTCCACTTTCAAATATTTCCTTATTTGGCAAATTATCTACATTAAAACAGTGTCAAACAGTGTTCAAACAGTGCCAAATAGTGCCAAACAGTGCACTCCACAGTAAAGTCAAATTTATTTTATTAATATGTGTGAAGTCAAATGTGGAACTTGTTTCAGAAACGGAGGGAGTATTGAGTACGATGTAGTGTACTACGTATCTTTTAGTCGGAGCTTTGAGGTCTACTATTGAAATGAAAAACTTACAAAAGTTTATTTTTGAAAAAGAAATTGAAGGACGACAAAAATGATACTCCCTCCGTCCCTAAATAAAAGCATATGTTTCCTTTTAGGGCCGTCCCTAAATAAAAGTTCTATTTCCTTTTTTGGCAAACAAAACAGTGCAAAACAGTGCAAAACAGTGCCAAACAGTGCCAAACAGTGTCCAAACAGTGCCAAACAGTACCAACCAAACCCACTTTCTTAAGATGCGTGTAAAATGAATGGATACTTTTATATAGGGACGGAGGGAGTATTATTTTCAAATTTTAGCTTATTTGGTCACGTACATTATGGTCTGATAACATCACTGTGGTACTTTCAAAGAGGAGGTCACATGTTCGAATCTCATTCCAGTTAGCTTAGTAGGTTAGAAAAATTTGTCACTATTTTTTTTAGCTTATTTGTGATTTAAAAAGTAACGTAATTCTAAAAAATAGACATCAAAATTCTATGGGCCCATAAGAGAAACAAAAGCGCGAAACTTTTGATTAGGAAATTCTGCATCATACTGCTTCGTTTCATCCAGAGAGTCCTTCGACACTAGGGTTCAAATCGCCTTGGCGGCCTGTCGCGGCGGCAGTAGCGGCGATGGCAATGGAAGACGTTAGGGCTAGCACGGCGTGGGTCGCCGCTCATTCCTCTCACGTAGCCGTCGATTCCGCCGGTAAGTCTACATTCCATTATAGGAAGCATTACAATGCATGCTGAAAACGGATAGTAGTTTTTCATTCAACGGATGTAATGATCTTTTTGCAGGACTGGAGAAAGTCGCAGAGGCAATGAAAAATGCAATTCCCAAAGTTGAATGGGACTTTGAAGGCATTCATTTCTTCGACAATGGCCCGCTTACTGTCCAGTATCTTCTCGTTTTGGATGCGCTGAATTTCTGTTTCTGGCCAGGTATAGACCATTTCTAGAATCAAGAAAGTTGTTACTCCAATCGTCCTATTTCAGACACTTTCTTTTTACAAAAAAGACTCCCAAACCAGTTAAGTAAGGTAAATTCAGTCAAACCAACAGCTAAATTTCTACTGCGTATAATGTAAGTGTTATTCAAGATTTATGAGAGCTAAATCTTACAAAAATTTACAATTTGTACCTTGTACATCTATAAACATGGCTTTATTTATTGAAAGTTGAAACGGATGGAGTAGCTGTTATGAACTACTCACGCATTTTGTAAATAACTATAAACCGTTTAATGGCTCTGGTCACACATTCAGAAACAGGAGTCGATTTCTTTTTCTTTTTCTGTGCATTATAAATCACGTGTAGCCTAGTCAGCTTGAAAATGTCAACTGAATAGTAGTTTTACGGTTTTACCTATGAAGTAATGGTTTATAGTTTAATAGCCCGCTCTAATGTCTATGAAGCTACTTGCATATTCTAGAGAAAAATAATTCTGGGTATGTTTAGTGAAGAGATGCAATTAAGGTCAATAGTCTAGTAGGCATGACACTGTCATTAGTGTAGGAAGCCTAGGTCGAATGATGTATGACATGAAAAGGCATTTTTATTTTTACTAATATTCCGTACATCATGTAGTCACATTTGATGTAGCCTGAAAGTCATGGTATATGACAGCTTAAAAGCCACTTATTCCCTGTACAGCCACAATGAAGGTTTTTTTGCTCCCACTTCATGTTTGAGAGGGTCTAGGCGTCTCTTTTTGTTGCCTTTTAGAACACTGATCAAGATTGCCTTATTCCATCTGTTGCTGCAATTAGTACTACAGTACTATCACTTCTCGCATGAACACAATGTGAAGGACTTCTATTCCCTTGAGACAGAAATATTGACTGTAGTGTTATTTTTCTGTTGTAACCATGTTTGAACTCTTTTCAATTAAACCTGTTGTAACCGTGCTGCACCAATTATTTCATTATTTGAGGTGATTATTAAATTAATCAGTGCATTGTAATTTTACTTGTCTTGTAATTTGTAATTTGTGGACTTAGTTATTACTCCCATTATCATCTGCTGTTTCCTCCTGATATTTCATTTTCCTTTACTGGTAGATAAGGATTTAAGTTATGACCATCTGGCATCTGGTTTGAAGGAAGCTCTTGAAAATGACCAATCAGCATTGGATGCAGACCGTTTGAAGATGTATACAGGTATCGAATTGTTTTATAGCACATTATTCTTTGACAATCAATGCCCCCTCCCCGGCCCCAAGTAAGAGACGAAGAAATTTATTTTTGAGGCTGGGGTTCAAGAATTCAAGTGAATGAAACAATAAGCAAACTAAGCCACTTAGGAAATATTATAAAGCATGGAATGTCATGATGCCATCATAGTAGAATTGGGATTTGCTGTATTGCCATAGTACTAGTTTTGATTTGTGACCCTAGTGCTTCAAGGTCAACACGGTCTTGGTAGGGAGATCTATCTTCAGCTAACATCAACGCACCTGACACTGTTTTTAGGTCCTCAATTACGGAAAATGTTGAAATGGACCAAGCCCCTACCATTGGAAGATGAACGAGTCCGCCTATTGCATGAGGTATCACTTGTAATATTTGAAACACTGTCTCATACTCATGCATTTTGCTGAAATATGGTTTCCTCTTTCTAATTTAACAATCCTTCATATATACTTAGGTTGGGACAGAGCTCGAGAGAAGTTTTGATGGGAAGGCATCCAATCTGGTGGAGTCTTGTGGAAAATCTGCTACAACGCTTGTTGGACTAATCGCAAGCCACTTTCCTGGTACTTCTTTTTCACTTTTTGATCCCCAACTTTTAGTATATACTTTCACATCATTATCATCCATCATATTAACTGATGAACTCATAGTACCTTATACATTGATGAAGGCGGCTTATAGTTTTAGGCTCTAAACTGCAGGTTTCCGTGATCACACGGTTTACAAAGGCCGCCAGACTTTCTTGTATAAAAGAGCTCAAATATTCGTGGCAGATTTATGGGGATCTTTTAAAGGTCAACGATATGGAGAGTTTAGTGACATTAGGTCAATAACTATTTTTGCTGATTATATTGTCCCGGCTGTGCTTCATAAACTCGGAGTGCTGAAATATAGTTCGGCTCTGGCCGAAATAATTGAGACCAACCGTGAAATTGGTTCAGGCAGTGAGGAAGAGGTAGAATTGAGAGCATGCTCAGTATATGCAGTTGAGAAATTGAGGGAGTTGATTAGTAAAAAGTCTGGACTGGAGGTCTGTCTCACTCTTCTTCACTGTATTTCTTTCTTTCCTTAACTGATTTAATTGGTCTTTCTTCAAAGTCTAGGGAGAGCGGCAAATTATACCGTGAGATCGGCCCACCTTCCGCATGGTGTGCCGATCCCACTTTTACAAAGTTACGGTCCTTTCGTTCTTTCCCAGGAGCTTCTTCATTTCTTCCTTCCTTTTTCTTTTGTTATTCTTTCCTTATTTTTCTTTTCTTTAATTAGTACATTACATTTCATATTCATACACTATTTTTTGTAATATCTTTTTTACATTCATACATTTTTTTTGTAATATATTTTTATATGCATACATTTTTTCTATAATATATTTTTTTATCACTTTTATATGGTTTTAGAGGTTTTTAAGATATTGAGTTTGTTTATTTGATTCTATATTTGATAATATACGAAGTTACATCATCTTATACTCCAGTTACAAGTTATTATGCGTGAGTTACATCTTTTATGCGTGAGTTACATCTTCTTATACGCGAGTTACATGTAATTATGTGTGAGTTATATCTAATTATTTGTGATTTTTTACTTATCTTTATCTTGAACTAATTAAATTATAACTGAATTAATTTTTTTCTTTACCAATTTAATATAAAATTTTATTAATCCACGTAAAATAAGTATATTGCATTTCATATTCATACATTATTTCTTACTTTGTATACTTTTTATATATTTATTATACACTTTTTTGTAAAATATTTTTTATATTCATATACTTTTTTCTATGACATATTTCTTATCGCTTTTATATGTTTTTTGTGTTTTATAGTCATTAAGGCTGTTTACTTTGATTTAAATTTGAAAAAAAAACATGAGAATAATACATTTTTCATGTGTGAGTTATGTTTATAGACAATTTCTATAATTACATTTGATATTATATGGAGTTACATCTTCTTATGCACGATTTGCATCTTCTTGTGCGTGAGTTACATCTTTCTATACGTGAGTTACTTTTGAGTTTGCCTCAACAAGTTACATTTTGCATACACTGAAGTTAGATTTTCAATTAACGCGGGTTACATACATTTTCTGTAATACGAATTACATCACAACATAAAGCCTACTATTGAAACAAAAGAATCATTGTTATGCAAAAAAATTTGTTTTCCAAAAAAATATGTGTTTTGGCAAAAACTATATTTTTAAAAACATTTTTATGGACTTAATATTAAAAAAACCCACCATTTATGTTAACCCCTGCTATTGAATAAAAAAATCACTTTTTTTGCAAAAACAAAATGAGTTTTTGGCCAAAAAAATGATTTTTTCGCAAAAAAAGATAAAAAAAATATATATCCTTAATATTAAAAACAAAACATATAAACTAAAGTAGTTGAACAATTAGACTCCTTGTTTTTATTAAAATCAATGTTTCATTTCCTATAATTCGTATTAGACAAGTTACATTTTGACTTGCTTGCTATTACATTTCTTATTAACGTGAGTTACATCTATTCCGCTACTAGGACAACGAAAAAACAAAAAGAAGTTACTGTTCACGCGCGTGAACAGTAACACGTTTTTTTACGGGAGCAGCATGCTCTCACGTATACCAACTGGGGGAGAACATGATAATCACATCTTAGATTTGAAATGAGGTACCACCTAGTGTGTACTCAGTGATGATTACAGTTCGTGACCGGTCAAACTCCACCAATGCACCAAGTTTGTTTGGCTAGATTAACAATGATTAAGTGACCTTTCACGAGCTTTGTATTTCTGACAAAGTGACCCACTTATACTTTCTAAAGCTAAATTTTGTTTTCTCAAACGACCATATAAATCTTAGGTCCTTCTTCTTATCCAGGTACTAAGTGTGGAACTGGATCTGTGGTTATGGGCTTTTGGCATCCGATGCACCTCTCTTCAACACCACCGGACACTCTCCATATATTACTGAGCAATGGAATTATATATGTAACACTGATCTTGCATTTTTTTGTCTTAACCTTATTTGTAGTGACTGAAGACTTGACATTTAAATGTTTTAATGGTTACCAACTTACCATTTAAGCAATTGCATCAGTTTTGTATCAAACTTTTAACTCAAAATTAATGATACACAGTTTGCTCTTTTTGTCATTTTGTATCCATTGATAAACCTCATTTCAATGAACACACGAGCAAAATGCATTTGAATTGGTGCCTTTCAGTTTATCACACATTTATTTTGTGCAAGTACATGTTAAAAAGTATGCTCACTGCGTGTCTGCGTATAGCCAGCTGCTAGTGTGAAATTGTAGAACACGGGTTTATAGTGGTTGGCAAGTCTCCATCATAAGTACACTGTGGGAGTCCGGGATTCCTTCCTAGCCGCTGGTGTACTGGAGTTGTGTTGGTTTTTGGACGAATGTCCTGCATGTGAAGTTCATTGCTTCTGGTAACGGATGTATTAATAATATATGCCGTCAATGATCCCAGTTTTATGCCATTTCACATGCAAATGTTAATAAAGAAAACTGAAGAGTACCTGATCGAAAATGGCAGTGGGAATTGCTAGTGTTGCAACAGCATTAGGGGAATCAACTATACCTGAGATCCTGCCCTCGCAAGGGCAGCATGAGAGTAAGAGATAGACCTGATCCATAATAAATTAAAAACCATCATTTCATAATCTTGCGGGATTGTTATTATTCATATTTAAAGATGAGGTAGAATTGCAGACCTGCTCCTTAGAGTAGCCAAACTTTGATAGGTAATCAATTGCGTTTAGCACTGCACGTTTGTAGGATACACTGACATCGAGGTAGTGTTGGTGTCCACTCTCATCGACACTGATTCCCTCGAAAACTAACCAATCTGAGAACCTTGGCTCTACTGGCCCTATCTCAAATATGGGGTTTACATGCAGTAGAGTGGGCCCCATCGGAGTGAGGTACTCTTGCATGCCATTTCTTATGATTTCACACCTTAAAACAATCAATCAGAACAAAACCATGGTGATAAGGTGTGATTGCTAGTAGGTGCGTTATTTAAACAGCAATGGATATGCTCATACCCTACCAAATGTATTCTGGAGAAACTTCAATTCGTGAATAGAGAGCAAATCCAATATGGTTGAGAGTATTTTTAGAGAACTAGGCAGACTAGTTTTGCTACTCCTACTATCCCACAAAGATAGTTTTGTACTCCTTTCTGCTGTCCCACAAAGGCATATCAGTAGCTACATTAAGCTTGAGTTTCCCCTTCCTAGTTTATCTCTATTCAAACTTTCATTTTGCTGAGATCTAAGATGGGATCAATTCATTATTCAACTTTACAAAAGGACACATTTTCTTCTCTGCTCTTCTTCTCTTCGAGGTTCAAACAGCTGCAGCTACTACTTTCTTTTTCATTTTGAATTTAAGTTAATTACAACAGAAAAATCTTTAATTTATTTAAATTGCTCTACAATTTAAACTCTGTTTTTCTCAGTTAAAAAAAATTAAAAACTTTTCTTTGAAAAGTAAACTTATGATAGTGATAATTAAGCAACATAAACTTAGTTTATGATACTTGATTATGACCCGTTCTCAATGTTTAATTGATATTAGATTTCAGATTGGCAGTAATTTTGGATTGTAAAAGTTGTTTGTAAACTTTAAGGCCTACACCTTGCATCTTAGATGTTGAATGCCTCAAGGTTTAAAAGTGACATTTCAAACATTGCTTCCGGGTGGCTTGAAATAAATATCTGCAAATAGGTTTTAATGATTATTTTCCAATGGAACCAAAAGCTCACTATTTTTTTGGTTTGAGAATACGATGGAATAAAGCAAAATGGTTCAGTAAACTGTTTGGACTTTCTTGTTATAAAGCAGCAATCAATCCATGCAATTTTCGACGCGATTTTCACTATGAGTCATCCGGAAACAGTGTATCTGTGCTAACGCGCAGGGGTAAGACTGCTTACATCCGACCCCCCTTACCCCACCATAGACGGGAGCCTTTGCGGCATTGGGATTTGGGGTAATGATGATGATGATGAGATGATGACGATTATGATGATGATGTTGAGGTTTTAATGATTCTCGAAGGGGAAAGTAAAAGATGAGAAATGAAATGTACTTGAGCTCAAGAAAACCACTCATCTCTATTGCACCACAGAAGGCCACCTCTCCATCACCCTGAGAGAAGTGCATGTCCCCAGTGCTGAGATTCGCACCTTCTACGAACACAGGAAGATAGATTTTTGAACCTCTACTTAGATTTTTGATATCACAGTTTCCTCCATTTTCTCTTCCAGGAATAGTCCTAGCAGCCTCTAGAGCAACTCTTTCCCATTCTGGTGTCCCTTCTTGAATCTGCACAAAGTCCAAAGCCTTTGATAGACACATATAAGTTTGAATATGCTGCTTCCGTAGATTATACCAATTGTTGAAACTAAACATTGAGATTAACAGTGACGCTTTTCGTATGTGTTTCTAATTGAGTATATGTTGGTTCTAAATGGAAAGATCATATCCGTTCACATTATATCATCGTTTTGTGGTTTGGAAGCATCTTTTGACTTGTTGGCTTTTAAGCTGTCATATACCATGACTTTCAGGCTGCGTCAAATGTGATTTACATAATGAACTTTCGAAGAAAATATGCTTTGGATTTCAACCCACATCAGTAGTTCAATACCAAATTGGGCCTAAATGCAGTATTTGTTTTCCTTACCTTGCCAAGAACACACCCTTTTGCCAATGGTAGGTTTGCGAGAGGCCTTGAATGCAAAACCTCACATAATTTCAGTGATTGAGGACCACTTTCTTGAAGTTTTCTCTCCCTATCATTCCATATATGTAGTAATTCTTTTGAAGGTGCTGTTCCTATTATCCCAGGGTGGGTCAAACCAGGAAACCTGACCCCTGCAGCAGAGTCCACTGATTAGTAAAACACCATTGCTTCAATAATTAGGGGAAAGAAATGGAAGCCACCTTGAGCTACCTGGAATATGAGGTGAGTAGGCATATATCCCTTCGAAATACCAAATGGCCTTGGTAGCTCTAGGAAAGTGATCTGTTAGGAATCCACCACCATTCTCTCTGTCAAATGTTGCTGTATATCCCCATTCATCCCCAGGTAGAGGTCCCAGGTTGCATATTTCTACAGCAAGAAGGTCACCTGCCTTTGCTGGGATTCCATCACTGTCTACCAATCTGATTGGTCCACTTAGATAGTGCACCTGAACATGATAAGTGTTCATTAGTCCTTTTCTTTTGTCTTACCTAACTTCCTATAATAAAAAAGGTTATGTAGAAGGTTATTATCATCATTTTAATATGTTTGACTTAAATGAAGATTAAGAAATCTGAAAACAATCAAGGTTGTGAGACCTTCAAAAATTGAATCGTAACATTGAATTGTAAGTTGGAAGATTTTTATGAAAAAATAATCTATACTCCCTCCGGTCCTAAATAAACTTCACACTTTCCTTTTTGGCTAGGTCCAAAATAAACTTCACACTTCTTCTCCCTTCCTTATTTGGCAAATTATCTATCAAAACAGTGCAAAACAGTGCCAAACAGTGCCAGTGTCACAACAGTGTACTCTACAATAAAGTCAAATTTATTTCCTTAATTTGTGTGAAGTCAAAGTGTGAAGTTTATTTAGGACCGGAGGGAGTAGTTATAAAAAAAATAAATCTTCCATCATTTACAATGGAGACAAAGATTCATTATTTTTTGGTTTGAGATTATGATAGAATAAAGCAAAATAGCTCACTAAATTGTCTGCGCTTCTTTGTTATGAAGCAGCAATCAGTCCATGCAATTTTGGACGGGATTTTCACTATGGGTCATCCGAAAACAGTCTCTCTGTGTTTTAGTACAGGGGTAAGACTGCGTACATCCGACCCCTTACCCCACCGTAGGTGGGAGCCTTTGCGGCACTGGGGTAAATGAAAATGAAAATGAAAAGGGTCAGATAGGGTCTCGAGCTTACAAAAAAATGTCAAATAAGACCTTATATAGGAGGTTCTGTCCAGCCAACGCCATTTGGGGCAGTTCTCGGTGGAATTTTTCGATGAAATTTTGTGACCATCTTATTCATTAAGTCTAGTTTACTAATATCACATTTGAGCTAAAACTTCAATCGGGAAGACATTCAAATAAATTTTTGAAGATAACTGCGCTTTTAACTGCACACTTATCTTCAAGAATTTATTTGAATGCCTTCCCGATTGAAGTTTTAGCTGAAAATTGGTATGAGTAAACTACACTTAATGAATAAGATGCCCAAAAAGTTACATTGAAAAATTTCACCGGGAACCGCCCTAAATGGCGTTGGCCGGACAGAACCTCCTATATAAGGCCTTATTTGACATTTTTTTGTAAGTTCGAGGCCTTATCTGACCTTTTTCCCAAATGAAAATGATATCAAAAAAATAAAAATTGAAACAAAGCTAGAGTAAACTATACTAAATGCTCAGATAGTCAACTCATAACTAAAACTTAGACAGCTTAGCCATAAGCAAGATTTACATATTGTTTCTATATTGTGAATAACATCAAGGAAAAGTCTATTAGTACACGTCGGGTTACATGCACGTTTTTTTGTATGTGTACAAACAAATTTTTTCGTTCTTATAGAGAGAATATTTTGTTACCTCGAAAAAGTGAATTGTTTGTGCCATATACAATAATTCTTTACAAAGACAAAAACAATTGTCTATAAACACACAAAAAAGAACGAGCGTGTAAGCCAACGTGTAACCCGGCGTGTACAGGAAGAATGAATCTTGCATGAAAGACATTGCTTGTATTGTTATTGAAGTTATACATCTCAATCTTCAAGAAATTTGCAATTTCTTTCATTTCTCACATCTCAAAATTGCAATTACCAATAGACCCAATAGTATTACTACTGCATTTACCATTATGCAACTGCCCGATTGACTTTGGTGATTCCATTGTTTAGATTATGAATTAAAATAAAATAAAAAACCAATTTTCTTCGAATGAGTATTAATTAGTATTGCTAAAGGGAAATCCCAGTTTCCTTTCAAAAAAGAAGGCATCTACGGAGTAACATTTAATTTAATAAAGAAATGGCATATTAGGGTGATATAAGACTATAATAATTGTGGATATCCTCGAAAGAAACGTGATATAAGATGGGGAAGTATGCATACCGTTGAGAGGTTTAAGGTCTTGACATCAATTGCGTCGTTATTATCTTGAATTGCGCCGCCGGTCCAGTCAACCATCTCCACCCTGAAAAGCTGCCCCGTTTCAACCTCTGCCACCGGTGGTATATCAGGATGCCAGCGGTTGTGCAGCGGCGGCACCTGTTCATGTGGCTTCTTTTTCAGGTCTATGGGCGCCACTAGTGTAGGAGTTGAAGGAGGTGCCATGGATGCTTATTCCTCTCACCACCACTTATGTGAAAGCTTGTTATTCCATTATTATTCGTGGCCTAGGGGACCATTTAGTGCTCTTGATTGCTGCATGTATGGATGCAAGCTCATTGACAAATATTTTAGTCGGATATGTTCCACTTTTCGCGTCTACCGAGAGCGGGTTCGGTTCCGGTTCTTCACATTAATCAAGATCATACTCCGTAATTTTCATCTAAGGTCCATTTAAGGTCCGGTTCTTTTCAAATTCAATTTCTTTCTGATTCTTATAATAATTATGTATCATGTTTCTTTTTAAATATTCTACGTATCATATAATCGTAATTTGCCATGTTGCATTTTAGGGACCGTTCCAAATTAACCCGGTTTCAAACAGGATTATTAACGCACTTAGTTCTGCATTAATAATATCAAGACTCGGTCCAAATTCACTCCAATTTCAGTTACCCATGAATGCCCATGATATATATAAAAAGGGCACGGGTCGTCTAAGTAGAAACTTCACTTACCAAACTTAGAAGACTCGTGTCATCTCGTTCACACCACGATTTGATTTTGTGAAGTTATTAGATGGCACATCTTTCCATCATTTGCAATGGAACCAAAAGCATTATTTTTTGGCTTGAGAATATGATGGAATAAAGCAAATGACTCACTAAAGTGCTTGCGTTTCTTTGTTATAATTAACCGTAGCCTACTATTGCTCCTAGACAAATCATTTATTTGCCATTAAATTACTTTATTTCTTACCTTTATTTGTATCATTGTATCCACCCCATATTGTACCTAGATACATCATGTATATATATGGCTAGCATATTTGTAGACTTAATTTTTGGGATTACAGCCGTTACATTGCATGGCTTCGGTAATCACATGCTTGTATATAAACGATGTCCGATTGGCCTAATAGAGCAAGGGAATAATTTCTCCAAAATATTTTGTTCCAATTTGGTATTAGCAGCTCATTTTTTTCCCTTAGTCCAGCAATGTCTTCCTCTTCCCCAAAATTTCACCCGGCCCTAGCCATCTCTAATATCAAAAACTTCATTCCCATCACTCTCAACCTTGACATCGTGGAATATACCTCATGGGCAGAACTCTTCAAAATTACGGCTCGAGCCTATCAAGTCATTGACCATATCCTCCCTAACGCCGCTACCCCCCTCTACCGAACCTCCTGCCTCCCCGACCACGTTGGAGCAGCGGCTGGAATTTCAAGCCGCCGCAATCGAAGCTAAGGCACTATGGGATCGTTTGGATGCTGTCATCCTCCAATGGATATACGACACCATCTCTCATGATCTCCTCCACACGATCATTGAGCCCGACTCCACGGCACATGCAGCTTGGCAACACCTTGAAGACATCTTCCAAGACAACCGGCATTCCAGGGCGGCATACTTGGAAAATCAGTTTTCCAACACCCGCCTAGACCAATTTCCCAACATTTCCTCTTACTGCAAGGCCCTCAAAATCCTGGCTGATCAATTAGCCAATGTGGGTGCTCCGGTTACTAACAACCGGCTTGTTCTTCGTCTCGTGAACGACTTGCCGGAACACTATGACACCGTGGCTTCCCTCATCCAACAAGCCGACCCTATCCCACTCTTCACCAAGGCTCGGTCCATGTTAATCCTTGAAGAATCCCGTAAAAACCAACAGGCCGGCAACCCCTCCGCGACCATGATTCACACCAACAACACCCCCCCTCCACGGCCTCCTCCAGCGCACCCTCGACCTGCCAACCGCCAATCCCGTCCAAAGGGTCGCGGTGGCCGACACAACCCCAACCCTCGCCCACATTACCCCTCTGCCCCGACAAACCCACCAACCGGCCCATGGCCATACCTACCTAACCCATGGGCATACTGGCCCCCCACCCCACGGGCCTCACCCCACTGCCCTTACCCCACCACGCACCCCCATCAGCCACCTCCTCCTCACTCTTCCCCCGATATTCTTGGACCGTGCCCACAAGCTCACTACTTCAGTACTACACCACCTCCCACCGACATTCAAGCGGCCATGCACACCATGACACTATCTCTGCTGGACACCAATTGGTACATGGACACCGAGGCAACTTCACACATGACCTCCTCCTCAGGTACTCTCACACCCTATTTTAATTTGCGCACTAATAATCGTATCTTGGTTGGCAATGGCATGTCCGTTCCTATTGTGGGTCACGGTCACACCACCCTACCCACCTCCCCCTCCCCTCTCCACCTACAAAATGTACTCCATGCCCCTCATTTAATCAAAAATCTTATTTCTGTCTGTCAATTTACTACCGATAATAATGTCTCCGTTGAATTTGACCCCCTTGGTTTTTCTGTGAAGGATCTCCACACATGGACAAAAATTCTGCGGTGCAATAGTTCTGGCCACCTCTACCCGGTGCAACCTAGTCTCAGCCCACGCACACTCCATGCATCCGCCTTCATTACACTTCCCGCTGAACTTTGGCATAGTCGGCTAGGCCATCCGGGGGATCCCGTTTTTAATATTCTTCGCTCCAATAATGTTATTTCGTGTAATAAAATTCTTGCTTCCACTTGCACTTCGTGTCAAATGGAAAAGCATGTTAAATTACCATTTTCTAGTTCTTTGTCCTGTACTTCTAAGGCATTTGAAATAATACATAGTGATTTATGGACTTCTCCCGTGTTAAGTAATACCGGACATCGATACTATGTTTTATTTTTAGATGACTACACGAAATTCTTATGGGTGTACCCCCTTCACCATAAATCCCAAACTTTCTCAACTTTTGTCACATTTTATAATTTTGTTCGCACACAATTTGAACAACGTATAAAAATTCTACAATGTGACAATGAGACTGAATTTCGTAACCTTCACTTTACCAATTTCGGTGCCGCCAACGGTATCCATTTTCGTTACTCTTGTCCCTACACCTCCCCTCAAAATGGCAAGGCCGAACGCACCATACGCACTCTAAGTAATGTGGCACGTACACTGTTAATTCATGCATCTCTACCCCTAAAATTATGGCCCTATGCTGTTAAAATGGCCACTTACCTCCACAATATTATCCCTTCTCAAACACTAAACTTTCACACCCCACCTATCTTTTATACAACAAAATACCCACATACTCCCATCTTCGTGTCTTTGGTTGCCTATGTTTCCCACACATCCCCTCTTCCACCATCCACAAACTTCAACCCCGGTCCGAATCATGCATATTTTTAGGGTATCCGGGTAACCACAAAGGATATATTTGTATGAATTTTTCTTCCCACAAAATCATAGTATCCAGCCACGTCACTTTCAACGAGGCAGTCTTTCCATGTCACCCTCACCACTCACCACCCCATTCGGTCTCACCATCCCATGATCCTGTACACCCCCTTCTCACCATACCCCCGGATCCCCATGCATGGCCCATGCACACGTCCAAAACTCCTCCTACGGAAACCAACTTTACACCTCCAAATTCGGCCCCTGCAAATAACCACTCCAGTCCCACAATTTCCACCCCACCGCATAACCCTTTTCACTCCCCAGCCGACACCCCTTCGGCAACCCAAAATTCCATCACCCCCAATACTGAATCCTCCATATCAAACTATCCAGCCGAGAACTCCTTTACCAACCCCACTGCCCAACCAGCCCCTCACCCCATGGTCACTCGGGCCAAATCAGGCATACTCAAACCAAGAACTATACTTAACCTCTCGGCCACTATACAACTGTCCCCCATACCAAAAAATCCCATCAACGCCCTCCGTGACCCCCAATGGAAAGCCGCCATGGATGATGAATTTAGTGCACTTATTAAAAATGGGACGTGGGAGTTGGTTCCCCGGCCTCCCGAAACTAACATTATTCGTTGTATGTGATTATTTAAGCATAAATACAGGTCGGATGGCTCCCTTGAATGTCACAAAGCCCGGTAAGTGGTCAATGGCAACTCCCAACAAATCGGGATTGACTGTGATGAGACTTTTAGCCCGGTGGTCAAACCTGTTACCATACGCACGGTGCTTAGCATTGCTCTCTCCAATTCGTGGCCTTTGCACCAATTAGATGTCAAGAATGCATTCCTCCATGGCCATCTCGAGGAGACCGTCTACATGCACCAACCACCCAACCCGGCTACCGAGACTCCTCTCGACCGCACCATGTTTGTCGTCTACTTAAATCTCTCTATGGCTTAAAGCAAGCCCCCCGGGCCCGGGTACCAACGTTTTGCCATGTTTGTAGCCACTCTCGGTTTTGTCCATAGCAAATGTGATCATCCTTATTCATCCTCCGGGGCAATCAAGGCACCGCATTTATTTTGCTTTATGTGGACGACATTATTCTCACGGCTTCCTCAGATACTCTCCGACGGGATATTTTATCTCAACTCCATCGTGAATTTGCCATGACTGACCTCAGACATCTCTCTTTTTTCTTGGGCATCTCCGTCACCACACTACCCGGTGGCCTCTTTTTATCTCAAGAGAAATATGCTCTTGATATTATTCGCCGTGCGGGAATGGACCTCTGCAATCCAGTGGCTACCCCAGTCGACTCCAATGCAAAACTTAGCGCTACAGCCGGCCCCGAGGTGCAGGACCCTACCCTCTACCGGAGCCTTGCCGGTGCTTTACAATATCTCACCTTTACCCGGCCTGATATCTCATATGCTGTCCAACAAATTTGTTTATTCATGCATGACCCACGGGAGCCTCATCTTCACGCCCTCAAACGAATTATTCGTTACATACATGGTACTGCCCACTTCGGATTACATCTCCATCGCTTCGTGTCTCATTCTCTCATGGCCTACACCGACGCCGATTGGGGCGGCTGCCCTGACACAAGACGATCCACATCCGGCTACTGTGTTTTCCTAGGTGACAACGTCCTCTCTTGGTCCTCCAAACGTCAAACCACTGTCTCTCGCTCTAGTGCCGAAGCCGAGTACCGCGGTGTTGCCAACGTTGTTGCCGAGTTATGTTGGATCCGTAACCTTCTCCTTGAGCTTCACTCCACCCCTACCAAAGCATCTATTGTGTACTAGTGATAATATTAGCGCCATGTACATGGCGGGTAACCCGGTTCAACACCAACGGATAAAGCACATTGAAATAGACATTCACTTTGCCCGGGAAAAAGTGGCTCGTGGGGAGGTCCGTATTCTACATGTCCCCACCCGTCATCAATTTGCGGACATATTCACCAAGGGCCTGCCACACATCTTATTCGACGATTTCCATTCCAGTCTCCACATTCGGTTGCCGCCTCACGTATCAACTGCGGGGGCGAATTAACCGTAGCCTACTATTGCTCCTAGACAAATCATTTATTTGCTATTAAATTACTTTATTTCTTACCTTTATTTGTATCATTGTATCCACCCCATATTGTACCTAGATACATCATGTATATATATGGCTAGCATATTTGTAGACTTAATTTTTGGGATTACAGCCGTTACATTGCATGGCTTCGGTAATCACATGCTTGTATATAAACGATGTCCGATTGGCCTAATAGAGCAAGGGAATAATTTCTCCAAAATATATTGTTCCAATTGTTATGAAACAGACGTCAGTCCATGCAATTTTCAACGCGATTTTCACTATGGATCATCCGAAAACAATCTTTTTGTGCTTTAATACAAGAATAAGGCTGCGTACATCCGATCCACCGTAGATGGGAGCCTTTGGGGTACACGGGTGGTGAAGATGATTAGACCACTCCCCAATATGTGCGCGCAGAATTAGAAAGGCATGGTCTTCGTTTTCTGGATGTCAAGTAAAGCCATTGGCGGCTTCTTAATTGGCAATTAATGGAAGACATTTTCAAGTTTCAACCATGCGTGAGGCACAGGGGCCACAAATAATGTTTTCACCACTTTCAATATCCCCACGCACTAACAAAGTTTGAGTGATGTGTCTTACACCATTCGTGGGAACCATAATCAACTTCTCAGTAACTTGTCTATCTTTTCACAAAATATATGGACCAATCCTTGTTCTCGAATCTGAGAAGACCAGCTAAGACCCAATGAACATTTGTCCTGTAAACTAAATTTATGGATATAATAATAATAGTGATATAAACACATCACGTTGGGATTTTGACAATCTCTTCATTTTTGTTCTAATAGACACTACTAGTGGACATAAATTCAATCATGTTGTAACTTGTAAGAGAGTGCAAACAAAAGTGAAGTTGGTTCAAAGGTGGTGTCTACGATGATTATTTTTAGCATTTTACCGTAAAGAATGGGTGGTCTATGTTGGGTGTGTTTCGAAAAAACAAAGAAAATTAATTAATAAAGATTAATTAAATAAAATGACTTAAAGAAAAACAAGAAATGAGATGAAGCAGAATAAGTCAAAGCTCGTGCTAAGCATGATTTCCTTAAAACGTATTCGTTGCCTCCCGGGGTGCTAGGAGCGCTGCAACGATCGTTTCCCAGGATACGATGACTTCGAACAATAGTTTAGCACTCAAACTAAAGTTCCAACGAACGTGAACAAAAGCAGAACACCGAAGGAGTTTGTATGGAGTGTCAGAGGTGCTGTTTTAGCTATGAAAATACGTGAACGAAGTGTATGAAAGGTTGTGTCTTTGCAAAGCACCTACTAGCCTTTTATAGGGGTGGATTAAGGTGTGTTAACGTTATCTTTAGAAGATAGATTTTCGGACGGCATTCGTGTGTGCAGGTCGCCCGCACACGCAAGTCGCGGTTTTTGTTCTTCGATTTCGGGATTTGATTCGCACCCCACCTCCTGCGCCGTGAGAGAGCCTTTCCCTTTAGGAATCTTAACTCCTTAGGGGGGGTTTCCCTTTATAAAGGGTTCAAATTCCCTTGTGATTTTCGGTGTGGGAAAGAACCCACACTAAAACCCACATTTCCCTAGTTTTCTCCATTCCAACGGGTAAACTTCGAAAAAAAAATTCTCATTCACCCGTTATCCGTTTTGAGTGTACCATATATCGAATTGTAGCCCTTAGCAAGGACAATCCGAAACCACTTTGACCCGACCCAAATCGGAAGTGGACCCCACTCAAATAATTGCCCCAAAAAGATCATTTAATGCAATTTTTAACACATTTTTCCAACAGTTTATTGATAAAATGGGACCACTTCAATGTGTTCAGAATACAATATGTAAAAAAAGAATGAAGAAAAAAGAAAGAGAAAAAGCAAAACTATTCTTTGAGTAATTTAGAAAAGAGCAAAAACAACACTAGTGCCCGTTATATTGGAGTTTGGAGGCATATACCCCATGAGAATAAATTGAATTAGCTAATTGAAAAGAAATGAAACGCTATCTTCTTTTTGGAACATTTACCTTCGGAGAAGCATACCTCCTCAAAATACAACGAAAGAAAGAGCAACAAAGTCCAACCCTCTTCGTTGCTTCCTACCTGAAACAGATGTAAATTGGGCTGGATGAGTAGCAACGAGTAAATGAGCGGGCCCATTACCTTCACGATAGGTATGTCGGAATCAGACACCCAACCTAATAACCCTATGTCTGAAGTCAACAAAGTCCAACCCTCTTCGTTGCCTCCTACCTCAAACATACTCCAGCGGCTCCTCAGCATCAACCTCCACATTCAAACTCTCAAAGCCTTCGTCCATCGCCCAGGTCATAGCAAACACAAACGCCTGTAACTCCGCCTCCATGCTTGACGCAGTGGAAATAGGAAACATGATAGCATTTTTTTCAAATACATCTTTTTTTCAATTTTTATTCATTGTAACGGTTTAACTTTTGTACTAATGATATACGGAGTACTATACTCTGATCTCCCGATAACATTT